TTTGTTACCAAATGATTTGGTTTGTTCTAAAAATAGTTTGAACTCAGTTAAGTGTTGTTGTTAACATAATCCCTTTAAAATATATTAAGTTTATGTTTACTTATTAGTAATATAAGCATTTTGCAATAATAACTATAGTTTTCCATTGCAGCAACACATGTTTTTGTTGTTTTGTTGTCAAAAATAAATGATGATAATGTTAAACAATGTTACATTATTGGTTTTTAATTATCTATTTGTGGAACAAATATTTTGAGCTGTATTGTACATATAGTAGTGTGAGATCGTAATTTAAAGCGCCTGAGTCAGAGACCTGCTACAGGTTTCTGCAACATGGAAAAAAACTAGAAAATTGATGATTTTGGGAAACAAGAGGGCCATGATGGCCCTGAGGTCGCTCACCTGTATATAGCCCCCCCCCCCCCAACGTTGCAGGGCCAATTTAACCAATGGGCTTTTATTTGCACAAACTCGGTAGACACCCATAAGAAGATGTTTCATGCTAAACATCTAAGCTCTAGCTCATTGGGCTTTATTGAAAGAAGATTTTTTTTAAAGTTTTTACTATGTATACATATATAGTTAAAAACAATGACACCCCTGGGGCCGGGCCAGTTTTGACCCCAGGGCTTTTATTTGAACAAACTTTGTAGACACTTACTAGAAGATGTTTCATGCTTAATATCTAAACTCTAGCTATTTGGGTTTTTTCAAAGAAGATTTTTAAGTTTTTACTATATGCATATACATTTGTAGGGAAAATCAATGATCCCCCGGGGCGGGGCCAATTTTGACCCCAGGGCTTTTATTTGAACAAACTTGGTAGACACTTATTAGAACATGTTTCATGCTAAATATCTTAGCTTTAACTCTTTTGGTTCTTTAAAAGAAGATTTTTTAAGTTTTTACTATATGCATATAGGGAAAATCAATGACCCCCTGGGGCGGTGCCAATTTTGACCCCAGGGCTTTTATTTGAACAAACTTGGTAGACACCCATTAGAACATGTTTCATGCTAAATATCTTAGCTCTAGCTCTTTTGGTTCTTTAAAAGAAGATTTCTTAACTTTTTACTATATGCATATAGGGAAAATCAATGACCCCCCGGGGCGGGGCCAATTTTGACCCCAGGGCTTTTATTTGAACAAACTTGGTAGACACCAATTAGAACATGTTTCATGCTAAAAATCTTAGCTCTAGCTCTTTTGGTTCTTTTAAAGAAGATTTTTTAAGTTTTTACTATATGCATATAGGGAAAATCAATGACCCCCCGGGGCGGGGCCAATTTTGACCCCAGGGCTTTTATTTGAACAAACTTGGTAGACACTTATTCGAACATGTTTCATGCTAAATATCTTAGCTTTAACTCTTTTGGTTCTTTAAAAGAAGATTTTTTAAGTTTTTACTATATGCATATAGGGAAAATCAATGATCCCCCGGGGCGGGGCCAATTTTGACCCCAGGGCTTTTATTTGAACAAACTTGGTAGACATCCATTAGAACATGTTTCATGCTAAATATCTTAGCTGTAGCTCTTTTGGTTCTTTAAAAGAAGATTTTTTTAGTTTTTACTATATGTATATAGGGAAAATCAATGACCCCCCGGGGCGGGGCCAATTTTGACCCCAGGACTTTTATTTGAACAAACTTGGTAGACACTCATTAGAAGATGTTTCATGCCAAATATCTAAGCTCTAGCTCTTATGGTTTTTTAAAAGAAGATATTTAAAGTTTTTTCTTTCGGTTGCCATGGCAACCAGAGTTCTGCATGGAATTAAATTCTTTGAACAATTTTTAAAGGTGACCACCAAAGGAACATTCCTGTGAAGTTTGGATGAAATTGGCTTAGTGGTTTATGAGGAGATGTCATTTAAAGTAAAAGTTTACGGACGGACGGACGGACGGACGGACGACGGACGGACGCCGGACGAAAAGCGATCACAAAAGCTCACCCTGTCACTTTGTGACAGGTGAGCTAAAAACTAATCAATTTTATGCTTTTTCTCTGGATTTTAGGATCATTTCCACAGTTATTTTGTTTTTTATCAGTTTTTGTCGCATTTCTATCATTATTTTTGCTGGAGATGAAAAAGCTCTGCTAAATCGACAAGTTTTGAACTTTTCGGATATTGACCGAAGTCGCGAGCACACTTACAAACTTGCTTGCATGATTTCCAGGGCTCTAGCTAGACCAAAAATTTAAAGAGAAGTGACTTCTCCCTCAGCTCCTATCAGGAAAAAGTTTAACGACATAAGGAGAAGTGAAAAAGGGCTTAGTACATTGATTTGATCTATAAAAAGAAGTTTTACATATTTATTGATAGTGATATTTGAAGTATAAATTCTAAAACCCTCTATCATCAGACCATTTTAATGTTTTCTTCCTGATTAACTCCACACACCCCCTCCCTTAAGAAAATTTTCATTGTACAATACATACTGGCAAAATTCTCAATCAAAATTAAAGTAAACAATACCTTAAGGAATTTTCATTAATAAACTACATTTTAAGTGCTTTTGGACACATTTTAACAAAACAAATTTTCCTTTTGGTAACTATTTTTTCATCGTAAAAATCGGTATCGCAAAAATATGTGACAAATGTAAATTTGTCTGTTTCCTGCAGAAACACTTATAATTCTAGTTGTTGGAGATTTTGGTTATATTAAATTAAATATTCAATGATCATTTTTAGATTGTTATTCATCCGCTATATTGTGGGTCAATAAGTTCTTTAACAAACTTCATTTTTACTATCAAACAGGTATCAAACCATTTACTTGTGCTTCTGTGTGTATTTATTTATATGCAAGTAAATTTAAATGGTCTGTGTGAGGTTGCGTATAATTACTGTCAAATATGGTAAGAGCAATTCCTGGTGTAATCTTTTTACACTCACTTATAAAATAATGACAGGTCTCGTAAAATTATGCTTAAAAATGTGATGTTTACATCGGCAAATTAAATGGCAATAATGTCTGATGCGTCTGCATATCATGTCACTTAAATGTGTTAATTGCAGTAACTGTGCGTCACCAGTTCAGTTTGATTTATGCCTGGAGGCCAGGATTAACTTAATTAACATGCGCTGTATGTTACCTATATATGTACATGTGGTCAGTAAAAAAGCGCGGCGAAGTCGTTTTTGCTTTGATGTTCAAACTCGGCGAAGTTCTGAAACTTTAAGTGACTAAAAGGCCCAAATCCCCTAGTTGCTAGAGCCCTGATTTCAGCTGGCCATATTCCCTAGCCATGAATGATAACTCCATGTTTTCCTGTCTAAAATTCCACCAAATTATTCCCCTTTCAAATGAACTCGAAGAAGGGACCTTTTAAAAAGACTTTGTATTTATTAATTCGATTTTTTGTTCAGAAACGGACAATTTTTTCTTTACCTTTGTATAATAAATGCTTTCTATCTATATATGGTTCTTAAGGTAAACATACGAGTTTTGATGGTGAAAACAAATGAAATTTTTCTGGAAACCGAAAGTAAACTTCATAAACAACAACAGCGTTGCTGTTCATCACATGTTAAAAAACAATACATTAATTCAGTTAAGAATATTGAGATGATTTTTTTTACTATCATTTCAAATGGAAAATATTAATATTTGGGAAAACAACTATGTGTAGTTTATGTGATTTGTTTTAATGTTTTGTCTGGATATTTTTAGTTTTGTTAAAAGCCATGTACACTTTTAAGTGTCGCTTCCTAGGCAACTGAGTTTTTAAAACCGTGAAGCGGTAACTGAACCCAAGATTATGGAAAAACGCATGCTTAGCGGCACTGATTTCCGCTTTATTGAAATACTGCATATTCATATCGCGCGAAAGTTCGTTAAGTGGAGCATCGCTTTCCCATCCGTTCTTAATAATTCCACAATAATCATTGAGAAACCTTGGATAATATTGAGAAACAGGGGATATCTATATTTCTATTGTGCTAGTTTGCAACATATTAGATAACTGTTTTATGTCATGTGACTCTGAAACATTCAAGTTTTCTTGAAAAAAGAACCCTTTCAATTTTCAACTCTTTGGGTGCCAAAATTCAGCACTCTATTGGTGACCCCAATATCAGACAGCTACAGATAAGTTAAAAGGGTTCCCTTTGTCGTGGTGCTCCTTTGTCCACAGGAAAATTTGTCTTTATTTTATTAAATCTAGCCTGGAACCCCGTTGTATCGATCTATTTACCCATAAATCACAACTGCAGTTAAAAAATTTAAATCTCCCTGAATCTTTATTTTGTATCATTTATTTTGATTCTTTTGTCATAATATTTTGTAACATGGCAAACATCACTGATATATAGTTTTAAGCTTTGGAATATACGGATATTTACAGACATGTCAAACAGGTTGAAGAATTAGGTCACGCCATTATATCGATGCATTGTGAGAATCACTCAGTAAGTCAAAGTTTGGGAAGCCTGACCAATCTTTATGCTAGATTTTTCAGTCGATTAGAATCAAAGATGTCTGTTTTAAAATGTCAGCATAATTTTAGGAACTTTCAACAGACAGTAAATGTGTATTTAATAAGAACACACTATTTATAAGTTTATTTATTATCTACAAAGTCTGACGGTACTGGAAACATGTTTATGATCATTTTTACGGCACAAAACGAATGCGAAAGATTTTCGAGACACTGTAGTAAATGTTAACAATCAGAAGGTGGCGTATTTTGCAAAAAATCTAATTTGTAAATAGATCGATACAATGAATAGCACGATACAATGGGGTTCCACTATATATATATAGTGGGAAAGAAAAAAATGACAGAATCCCCTGTGCCTTTGTCACAAAACAAAGTGCCTGTGAGTGTGACTGTGACAAGTTCAGAGTTGAAATTCGTTTAAAAATAACAATTAAATTATGAATCACTGTACAGTAGTGGTACTCTTAAGTTCTATAAAACATAATTTAACTTATTAACTCAAATTCCATAAATAAATACAACGGATCTTTTAAAATACAGAAAATATTGTTACCAGTAACAGAAACATCACTACACAGACTCCATTTTGCCTCTCGTGAAATGTATTGATCGTGAGATTTCTCAGTTTCGCGCAAGGATCCGGTACCAGACCACTATTGAATTATCCGGGCTAGTACTAAATATATCAACTTTAGGGACCACTAACACATAATGATTTCTCCAGGCTAGTACTAAATATATCAACTTTAGTGACCACTTACACATATTGAATTAGAATTTCTTGCTTTCAGTTATTACTGTAAAAAGCAAAAAGATTATAAAAACATGACTCTTATTCAAAATTTTAGCACTTATAATCTGTAGAACCTGTTATATTCAATGATTCCAGTTGACATGAAATACTTACCGTAGACTGGTAATGCATGTATATTGAATGAAACTCTGACTGCCGCAGACATTTTGTAGTAGTATTCACACAAAGTTTAATCAATCATTTTATTTTTTATTTTTTCTAAAACAGTGTTCGTAGTCTTGGTGCCTGAGAAAGGGCAGATGGACCCTCATCTAATTAGCTAGAACACATACAGATCAAACAACAACAGATACTGACATTCTTCCTTACACATAACAGTATTATGTGATATTTTTAGACAAATTTTTATAAATGCCATTGAATGTTCTGTCAAGACTTGTATTAGTTATCATTTTCAACTTGTTATGAAGTATACAATGTACATTTCTTGTAAATAATTGATATCACTCAAGACAAAGACCTTTCCTGTGTAAAGATTTCCTTTCCATTGCACATATATTCTGTTATAGGCCACTAAAGTTATGAGTATATGTAGCTTGACATCAAACAAATTGCAACACAAGCTTTCTTTAGTATTTTGCAATCAATATATATGCATGGACCTTGTAGTAAAACCCTAAAAAAATATACCTTCGGAAACTTGACTTTTGGCAAGTAGTTTACGAGTACCTGTCCAGGCATAAAAATCGTAATATATAATATCGGAATATGTTTAATATGTGGCGACTGTCTTGTCTTTCTCTGTTATATATTGGTTGTTTTTAGTCAGCATGTATTGGTGTTCATAAAAATAGAATTTGCTATGAATAATAACAGGTTTGGCCTCTTTTTTTATTATTTATTCACTTGTGGCACACAAGATTATTACCCCACCCACTCATAATAATAATGCAAAACGTTCAAATTGCATTATCTTAAAAATACCTAATATTTACAATTGAAAAGAGGTTCAAGTAATATTTATATCACATAAGCTTATATAAATAAAGAAACATAATCACTTAAGCAAAATGTAACATACGTTACATCAATTACATTGACATTATTCTAGCATATTTTTTTAAACTATTTTTGAATAATTTATAAAAATAAAGAAAACAAACTTAGTTACAACAAACAATGCATCTGGTAATTATAAATATACTCAATTTCTGAAAGTAACTCGTTATTTAGTCTTTTGCTGTGTCATTTAACATAATTTGTACGTTACCAAAGTCTCATCCATCCAAATATTACCCATAAATGTTATGCAAACTATCACTTTTAACATTATTTAGTAGAAATAACTTCATTTATCATCGCCAGGAGGGTCCAACTATCTATATTGCACAACATTTAAGTTAGTGAAGAATAAATGCTGAAAATGAGCTATAGTTATGTCTTTAATAATGGAATTCAAAATTAGAATTTTATATGTTCAAAATGCCAATTTTATGTCATGTATCATTTAGGTTGCTTTAAAAAATATTTCACCTTTGAAATTGAATGCCATCACATCTTGTTTAACCTATTTATGTTTTCTTCATTATTATATAAAGAGATATTTAAGTGATCTCCACACCTCTATGTCTCTCATAATGCTCATTAGTTCGACTACACCTAGTCACATTAAAAAAAAGGTTATCCTTTCAATAACTTTCAAAGTATTGCATAGTGGTTAAAAAGCCTTCTCCTGCTGTTTTGGGGGTCTTTCCACTAGATTTGCAAGTCATGTGTTTGCACTTTTCATAAAAAGAACGTCTTGAAATGACTGTTACTGTTACAACAATGGTGGTAATGTATTTTAGCTGTCAGGCCATTTACGCCTTTGATTCTTCCTAGGACCTTACTTCACGCTTAAAGTGTCTTGTTTTACACAAAGACTTGATTTAAACATGAAAGTCGAAGGTTTCAACTTTACTGACAACATCGCCACGAAATTTATGTTCTTTCTGCAACTTACACAGTTATTGTCTTAAATAAATATACGTTCAACATTTTTTTCTTGTTTCTAAACTTCTAATCATATTATTGTCTCTTGCAGTTTTCTCTTCTCGTCGTACATGATAACAATACTCTTTTCTATCATTTCGACTTTACATCCAGTCATCTAAAATGGAATTAAAAAGAGATTACAAAAAAAGCATTGTCTGGTCTTAAAAAATAATACTATTCATTAAATAAATTTTACCCAAAAAGTGGAGTCCTCTTCAGAGAAATGCATGAATTTGGGTGCACTATAGAGCAAAACGTATGTTCAACGTCAAATACAGCTTTCATGATCACAGACTCAATCAAACCATGCCTGTAATTTTCAGTAAGTTTGCTGTTTTTAAGGCTTCCGAGGAATCACTTATTTTACCAGATACGTATTTATAGATGTGAAGTGCTGTGTGACAGCCGTAAAAAGTTGCCCCGTACTTCACTTCAGTATTGTTATATTTTTCTGGTCTTTCAGGATCATTGAATCCAGCACTTTAAAGTGTTGAGAATTTAGTACCGCTCAATCCGGTGCTAGGGGGCATTAGGGATGTTGCACTTTTTCATTATCCGTCATATACATCTTCAAACCGGCTCTGCAATTTTCATGTAATTTTTTTTAATGCATCTGAGGGATCACTTTTTTACCAGATATTTAAATTACATCTGTAACTGTTATTGACGAGAGAAACAGAATTAAATAGGAGGCATTTCCCCTGTGGTCGCATGGTTGTAGGTATGACAGGGCTTTCATTTTTTGGCTTATCAAAAAAAGCACCCGAAGTAAGTATTTATCAACCACTTCATATAAATGAGTTATCTGTTCGTTTAGGCTAATACTTTCAATATGATTCACAGACCATATGCTGTAGTTTTCATAAATATAGGACGAAAAACATAAGGAAAGGAAAACAAACAGATAGACAAACCCTATTAAAGATAGGCAGATGTTAACAGTATCTCAGAATCAAGTTTTACAACTATCAAATTTTATTTTTTGGTAAAGACAAAAAAACAGAGAGCCAGACGGGCAGAAAGGCAGATAGACATGTTTTTAAACAGAAAGACAGACGGTGTAGATGGACATACAGATATCTATATTAGCACAAACATCTCTGATTCATTACGTTTGTATTGAAACTATCTTATCTCATGCGTTTGTAAAATTGTACAACAAATTTAACACTCAAAATGGGGATCTATTACCACTGGCAAAGCAACAGTTAACTCCGAATATAGCTCCTCATCAATATTTGTAGCACAATTTAGTTAAACCAGAGACACAGATAACATGTTATTTATGTCTCTGGTTAAACCATGGAGCTAAACAACAATTTGAACTGCTTACTCAAATACTGTGATTGTAAAATAAGTTTTCTCCCTTTTTTGGAATCACAATTTTAAAATTACATAATCATTGTAAATTATGTATCTGTTTTTGACTCCCCTGACATCTCATATATCACTAGTATGTAAAAAAGATAATATACTCGTATCACACTCAGTATTACCTTTCAATTCTTATCTTCCAAATGTTATTAAAATGAATACACAATGACATTTTTACCAAAACCTAATGATCTGTTAATAAATATCATGCATTTATGATTCTAAAATTAATAACAATTTATTCTAGATTTCGTGCATTGTTTACCCAAACACGCTTCCGTAGTTACATTTTGAAACTACCCAGGATAAACTTAAATGTGTTTATTTTTATTTTTCCTACTTCATAAACATCTTATTATCAAAAGGAATGTTAATATATAGGCTACTGATTATTAATATCTCATGAAAATTGCAAAATCTTTACTGTTTTAAACGACAAACGCTGATTTATATACACGCGAAAACCCATTACAATTCATTCATTGTATTTGATATTTGGGCATGTACGAGGCTAAAAGTTGTAAAAACAAGTAAATATAATATAAAAATTTATACATACTTTGCACAACAGCTTCTAAATCTAACTCCAAGTAGTAAATGTGTAAATTTTGATATATTTAAATCGCACGGCCTCATAACTTTTGTTTACCTCGACACCGGTTACAGTATAAAACTCTGTGTATGGTGTACATGCAGAGCCATAAAAAAACTCGAAACAAATGCAAAATTTGAATTGCTTTTTTACTGGTTTGCCATGGTTAGATTTTTTTAGGGTTTTTACCTGTTTTATATGATGTGTATAACAAACTAAAAATGTAAAAAAAGCTTGTGTTGCAATTTGTTTGACGTTAAATTTTACTTTAATCGGACTATTAAGAACATTAAATTTTGCAATAGTGTTAAATTATACTTTAAGAACATCGATCATTTAATGATTTGTAAAAAATATATTCAAAGATAATATAATTTATGTATTATATCATAATTATATTTCATGATGGTAAGGAATGCTTAATAATTTATATTTTCAGGGCTCTTTGCTATGTTATGCTATATCATAGACTGTGCTATGCTATGTGTTGATAATTATGATTGTTATGTTGCAAAGAATTAGAATGTGTATAAATGTATTACAGTGCCTACTACTATTTAAACATAAACCAACAACCCTTGAGTTTCGTTTTAATTAAACAATATAAATAAAAATTGGATCAAATTAACAAGAGGGCCCTCATGGCCAGCCGTACATTGCTGAGCAATTCTGAGATCCACAGCTACAGGAAAGTCATTAATCTTGAATCAAAAAGTAGATAAATAGGGTGTTTCATTCTTGTCCCAAAGGGCAAGGTTTATGTATTACTTTTGTTGATATTCCCTAATTTAAAGCAATGCTACAATTATGCAAAGTTACTAAGATCTGGGCAGTGCAGTTTCTGACAAAAAGTCTTACCAGGAGACATTTAGTCAATATAAACCAAGTGACCCT